AAGATTCTGCTGCTTTTGTCCTTTTGTGTTCATCTTAGGCTCCGTGTTTTTAAAACGTGACCATGAATGAACGCCACAGCTCTGAACCTGGAAGATATGCCCAGGCACCCTGTACCTGGCCACTCTTGCCATTTCTGAGGGAACTGTCCCTCCTCCTAGGGCCGATCCTGTTACTCTGCTTTACTAGACTTTTCAAAGTTCCAGAATCTGTAGGGCATGACACCTTCACTCCAGGGTGGCCCTTGGCAGCCAACACAGCCTCCAGAGTTCTTGCAGGACCTGACTGAGGGCCACAGTCTCACAGCTGCCCCCTCGCCGCCTCAGGTGAACACTTTATAGCGGTTTAGACAGACGTTTAGACTACCCATTTGATAGTGTCCTGGAGGTCAGCTACCAGACTGGTGGGGGCCATGTGGCTAGAGGTACCTGCGTACTAGTCAGCCTTATTTTACTTCAGGATGACCCCAAATCACCAAATGGAGGATGCAAGAGAGGCCCAGAGCCTAAAACATGGGAGGTACCTGCATTTTTTTTCTGGGGTGTGGAGGGGGGTACTAGGAATTGAACCAGGGCAACTTGACCACTGAGCCACTTATCCAGACCTTTTTTAATTTTATTTTAAGGCAGGGTCTCACCAAGTTGCTTAGAGCCTTGCTAAGTTGCTGAGGCTGCCTCTAACCCTGTGATTCTCCTAACTCAGCGTCCTGAGCTGCTGGGGTCACAGGCGTGCACCACCTCACCCAGCTTTTCTTCGTGTTCTTGATGACCTTGTTATCGTGGTCTTCTGCTGTGTCCTCTCTTTCCTCTTCCTTTCACTGAGACCTAAGGTGTCCTTGTGATTAGAGCCCCCTCTTCATACAGGTGAGGGATCTGGATGAGGAATCTGCTGCAAGGATACTGGTCCTGGCCACCGTTCATCTACAGCACTAAGGCGGGTCTCCTTCCTCCAGGAGCTCCTAATGGCCTCATGGGCCTGGGCTTTCCAGTCACCAGGCTATAATCCCCCTATTGAAGGAGGCTATTCATTAATAATGTGTGTTTGTTAGTATGAAAATAAATATTGACAAACTCATAGTCTTCCTATTGGTTCTGAACATCCACTTTGTATCTTTTAGGTGTGAAACATTTACATATTTTCCATGCCCATCAACTTAATGCACTGTTGGTGGGAGGGAAGTTCTAATTTGTTGCCCTTTATTTAATTTCACAGAATTCCTGTGGACGCTCCTTTCTTCTATAAAACCACTTTATGACTGTGTACATTCTCCTGACCCTAAAAATGCAGGGGAATACTGACACCATAAAATAAGTAAGTGGAATGACAATCAGGGTTCGTTAGTTTTGTATACTATTCTAATTCCAAAAAGAGCAATGCTTCTTCTAGAAAACAAAGCAAATAAATATTGTCTCTAATATGTCAGCATAAACATAATAATCTGTTTATCCCACTGTGATTGGAATAAGATAGTAATCAGATCAATTTATCCTCTATAGTGATGCAAAATATGCATGCAACCATGTAGTTTATTTTCTGTAAATTTTATCAGTTAAGACAAAGGGAAGGAAGATCTCAAGGAATGTGAGGAATTTTTATTAGATTGCTAATAATAAATTATAATCATGGCAAAAAGAAAAAAGATCCAGTATTTTCCAACCCTGTCAATGTTAGATTGAATCCTGTGATCTTAGTGCAGTTGGTGCAACTTGATGTGGCAAGAGCAAGCACAAGTGTGTCCCTGGCTGACCCAGAGCAGCCTGTGCTGAGCTTGTGCACACCCAGCTTGGTCCACTCTGGGTTCCCTTCTGTCCAGCTCTTACATGTGGCCAAAGCATCTCTGTAGAGTGTCTTCTCATTCCTGGCACTGCTTTCTTCTGAGAGCCTGATGAATGCATCCAGTCCTTTCCAAAGTGAGAAGTACACACATGACCACCCTGCCACACAAAAGTCCTGTGTGCTTTGAAGAGGTGATGCATTCCCCAAACAGATTTAGCAGTATACTTTATGCTGCTGCTTAACAAATTACCGAAGCCTAGCGCTTAAGATAATCCCATTTACCACCTTAGCGCATCCCTATGTCATAGGCTAGGTATGGCTAGGTTGGGTGGTCTTCTGAGATCTCATGGGGCTGCTGCAAGAATCCATTCCAGAGATTGCAGGACTAAGGTTCTGTTTACTTTCTGGCTGTCAGCCAGAAATATTCTCATCTATCTGAGACCCCTGAGTGAAAAAAAAAAAAAACAAAGGCAAGAGTAACAGGATAGGCCCTTAATGAGACCCTGTCTTAAAATAAAATAAAAAAAGGTCTGGRTAAGTGGCTCAATTCCTAGTATCCCCCTCCACACCCCACAAAAAAATAAACAGTGACACGGTGATGCCTGTAGTTCTTGCTTCTCGGTGGGCCTTCACCTGAATCCACACGGGTGGGGGACTGCATCCCGTCTTCACTCTGTGAACCTGCTGGCAACACACAGCTACTCTGCCACTGTGACTCTGGAGGACCTGTCCTGGCGTGACCCAAGTGTGGCTCCACTTGCCAGTCTTTGCTAAGCTGGGGGTGCAGGTTGGCCACTTGTTGCAAGGTGACCCATCTCTAGAACCAGAAAAGATACTCCATTTCCATCTGCTTCTATAAGGTTCCACATAATGGAAGGGACATCTCTGGGGGAACTTGGTGATGATGATGGAGGGTGATCCTAAGGCTTCCTTTCCTCTCCGTCTGGTGGTGGTGGTGGATTCAGCAGCTGCTAAAGAACCACGGACATTCCTTGAATTTACACAGTACTCAGATCTCAAGCTATTTTTGCGGGATACATGGAACCTACAGATTACCACCAGCAGAAGTGGGCAAATTTATCATGGAGTCAGGTCTGAGTCCTGGCCACACTTTCTGATTGTGCAAAGAGCAGATGACAATGATGTCCTGATGACGCCATGCCCTCAGAGGAAGGTAGAGGACATCATCCTAGGTTCACTTTTGAGGAGAGATGGGTGTTGTCTCTATCAGAAGCCAAAATACCTGGCCTAAATCCATATGAAATCTTAAGGAATCCTGAATAGCAAAATAATCTTGAAAAAGACAAATTGGAGGATTTAAACTTTGTGATTTCAGAACTTAGTAGACATATACAGTAATCAAGATGGTATAGTTGATTCTGCAATCTGTATTTGGGGTAAAAATGGGAGTTCATAACCCACTTGAATCTAATGTATGAAATATGATATGTCAAGAGCTTTGTAATGTTTTGAACAACCAATAACAAAAGATGGTATAGTAATGGCACAAAGGCAGACATATAGACCAATGGATTGGGGCAAAGAGCACAGCAACAAACCCTCACAGATACCATCGGTTGATTTTTTCAAGGGTACTGAGAGCATTCACTGGGGGATAGTCACTTCAACAATGGGAAACTGGATATCCACATGCAAAAGAAGGAGGTTGGATCCTCACCTTACATATACAAAAATTAACAAAATGAATCAAAGATCGAATCTGAGAATTAAAATGATAAAACTTTAAAAAGAAAATACAACATAAAATCTTTATGACACTGGATTTACTTGTGATTTCTTAGATATGACACCAGAAGTACAGGGAAAAAGGAGAATACTTAAGTTGGACTTCATGGAAATTAAAAACTTTAGTACATCAAAGTATACTACCAACAGAGTGAAAAAGCAAGCTTTAGAAATTCGAGAAAATATTTCTCGAACACTCATTTGATAATAGATTAATATCCAGAATACATAAAGAATTCCTAAAATGCAACAGTAAGAACTAAACAATCCAAATCACAAATGGGCAATGGCATGGACAGACATTTCTCCAAAAAAGATATACAGATGGCCAATAGCACAGGAAAAGATGTCAACATCCTCAGTTATTAGGGACATTAAATCAAAACCACCGTGAGATACTACTTCACATTCATTAGGATGGTTATTATCAAGAACAAAAAAAAATCACAAGCACTGGGGAGCACAGAGAGAACCTGACGCCCTTTTACACTGTCGGCAGGAATGTGAAATGCATTTGACGTGGAAAAGTCTGGCAATTCCTCAAAACATTAAACACAGAGTTACCATCCGATCCACAATTTTACTTTCAAAAGAATGAAAACAAATGTCCATAGAGAATCTTGTGTATGAATGTTCTTATCAGCATTTTTCATCATAGGCTAAAGGGGGAGACAACCCAAGTGTCCATCAACAGATAAATGGATATAAAAAATATGGTCTATGGTCACAGACTGTGTAATGTTCTTTAGCTTTAGAAAGGATGAGAGTGTGATGAATGTACAACCTGGTGAAGGGACTAAAGCTTCTAAACCATCCACCTAAAAATGATCAAGGCAATACTTTTTATGTCCTGTACATTTTACCACTAAATGATAGCTATAAAGCTATCATTTTCATGGACAGAGACAATGCCCTTCTAAAATGTTAAACCAATTGACTGACGCTTTTAAAATTCAGCAACTAAAAACTGGTTACTCTTCCCATGACAAAGAGAGAAAAATAGGCTCTTGACACTCTCAACTTAGAATAATCCTCCATGAACAAATTACTCAAACCAGAACTTTATAATACTCACAAGGCAGTCCTAAAACCAAGATTTTCAGATACAAAATGATGTAAAACTTCAGAAAAACATAACAACTTCAAACTATATAGTTTGTTTAATAATGCTCATTTTCATTTTTTACAGCAATCAGAAAAACAACCAAGTTTTATGTAGTCATTCAAGACATATACAACTGCAGATAAGGGAGAAATTTCAATTTTCCCCAATTTCTCATTTAAAGTCTCAAATGTCACCTTACCCATTATATACAAGCACAGAAACAAATAATATGTCAGAAATGTCTTTAATGTTCCCAGGACTTGAGTTACAAAGAAAATATCAAGAATTTAATCTTCTTTGTATATAAGAATTAACTCTTTTTTTTAAAAAAAGAGTAGTTATAGTTGGACACAATATCTTTATTTCATTCACTTATTTTGATGTGGTGCTGAGGATGGAACCCAGGGCCTTGCATATGCAAGCAAGCACTCTACCACTGAGCCACAACCCTGAGAATTAACTCTTAGTCTATTCTGTATTTGTCTTTTACATTTTCTGGTTAAATACTAGCTCTTCTTAAAGTGGTACACTGATTTCACTCACTGTCTTTCTCAGGAAAGATGTGTGTAATCCAGTAATTAAAGAAGGCTGAGATGACTCTGGCATGGTCTGAAAGAAAACAAAAACAAAAACAAAACAAAACAATGAATAAAATAGAGCTGAAGCAAAAAGATAAATTACAAATTATTACTGTGTAGTTATTAGCCTTTAGGCCCCAAGTAGATCCTGAAATAGTCTAATTATGATGTAGACAGGGCCACAACACAACCTGTGAATCACACATTATGCAACAGACACAGAATTGGTTCTGAGTGTCTGTGTTCTACTGGGGCTCTCAAGCTCTACTGTACCCCAACTTCATGCTCTCATGGTATTACAGGGTTACACTTCACATGCGAATTGAAATCATAAGGAGATAGAAGTTCGTGTCAAAGGTGAACAAGCAGGAGAAAACTGAAAGGGGGACAAGATGGGTTTTAGGGAACTCACTTTCATGAGGCCCAGTACTATACCAGAACAGCTAGAGCAAATGGTCAAGGGACCAAGCAAGTCTTTTTTTTTATATTTATTTTTTAGTTCTCGGCGGAAATCACCTGCCAGTCCTTGCATGGCTTCCTGGGAGAACCCTAACTCTGATAAAGATTCTCTTTGAATGCTAGGCTTCCCAATGTGCAAAGACTCTAGAATCTAGTTTAGGACAATTGTACCACTTCTAAAGTCATCAGCCGAGGGCATAGGTACAGGGAGGAACCTCCCCAGGGTTAGTCAGCTCCTGGGTTGCCACTGCTGCTGACGTGGATGCTTTACTTCCAGACCAGATTGGAACCTGAGACCTGGTGCTTTCAGGAGAGAGGTCCCACCTGACCACTCTTCTGAAGCCACTCTGAGACCCTCCCCAGGCTGAAGCTCTTCTGACCAAGGGCAAGGTGCCTGACCTCTGCAAGCCTCCTTTTCTCACAGAGAGGGTGGTAAAACTTCGCCTCACTTGAGACTGAGAAATTCTAGCAGTAGGTCTCAGTGCCTGCCTGGGATAGCAGTTCAGCCAATGGCAGCTCTGACTTTAAAGTGTGTCTGTGACACAGTGTAACATGCCAGCACCAGATCCACTCTGTCACTGAGCACGGACCTATTCCAGGGCTGCAAAAGCACAAGAACTGGGCTTAGGAAATGTCTGTACCCGACTTGAGTGAAGTGTCGGATTTAGGACATGCGGCAGGCAGAAAACGTTTTGTACCTGATGTGAAATGCTATCCCTAGAGATGAGACACTCATTAGATTTCATAAACTAGTTTCATGAGAAAGTAAACTTAATTTAAATAGTTATAGAGGCCAAATCAGCATCAGACAAATTTGATCTTTGAAAACAAAGTTTGATCATATAAAATTTTATTTTACAAAATAGCTCAATATAGAAAAAACTAAGTGCCTCCTACCACCTGCTCAAGGGGAATACACTGAACAGAGATATTAGTTCTATCAACTCCTTAAAGCACATGTATTGTGGACAAAAACCTGCCCAGTGAGTTAATACTGGGGACCTCTGACTCCCCGACAGCTGCCCAGGCTCAACGCACTTCAGGACACTGCAGAAGAGTCTTGTGCAGATTTAAAGAACTAAAATTTCAAATTTTAAGTGGTTTATTTTCATCCCACAAAAATTTAAGTATGTAGTGGAGACTAGAGAGGGAGAGGAAAAAAAAATCTTTAAGGAAGAAGCAGGATTGTTTTGGCTGGAGATCAGTGTCTTTCCTGCTTCCCTTCTCATCAATAGGTGGGGTCATCTGTGGTTGGGCAGTATTCCTGCCCTCAGGATGGTGAAGGTCACTGGGGTGTCACTGTGTGGGGTAGTGGCTGCTGGGGAGAGGGGGAGTTAGAAACTGGGTACCTGGCCAGCTAGAGTTCCGACCTGGAAGTTGCCCCAAGTGAAGATGGTGATGAAAGTCGCCCAAGATGGAGGCGTCAGATCAGGCAGGGGAGCCGGGCAATGACGCTGGACCATGAGTTCAGAGGGGATCTCTGTGGCATGCAGCACGTGGCTGCTGGCTGACTTTAGAGCCTGTGTGAAGTTCTCRGTGCAGGCAGGCTACTGTGCATAGGGAACTATCTCTGCCGTTGCAGAGTCCCAAGATGGTGGCAACTGGGAGAGCCCCACTAGATGGGGGTACATACAGGGTGGTGGCCAGAGTTCCCACTTGTGGAAAGCTGCCAGGTGTCCTGCATGGGAGTGGCATTCTTGATTTCTGCTCGGGTGGGTGGCTGAAAGTTCTGTGTAGGGTGCTGCAGCTGATGGTTTTGCTCAGGTACCTGGTAGTCCTGTGTGGGAAGTAGTTGGGAGACCTACTCTGATGCTGAGGCTTGGAACCCTGGACAACATGGTGCTTCCTGCTTTGGGGCAGGAATGTTGCTCACAGAGAAGCAGAATTCTCACTGCTTGAATCCCAGGTCACAGAGTGATACAGAATGCTGCCTCCCTGGGCCCGCCATCTTGGGTCCCCCAAGCATACAGTTTTAAACTCTGCTTTCAAAGTAACTGCTAACCTATAAGAAACTGGCTTGTCCTACTGTTTGTTTCAGTGTTGCCATTCCAGAGTGCACTGTCATGAACTGTATCCTTCTGATGCAGAGAATTTTATTATCTTCTCCTTTTGTTTTCTGCATTGCCACAGCCGGGAGGTGCTAACAGACACAACCCAGCCTGGTGGCGACTTGTTTCAGGAACAGCTTGGGCCTTCTGTGGGCCCAGGCCCTCAGTCAACTCTGTGGCTGTGATGGAGCAGTGATGGCTGCAATGGGCATCACTGGGCACTCCAGCAGCTGCGAGCTTTGGATGGGTGGCAGGCCAGAGCAAAGGAGCTGAGGGGATGCTCTTTCCTTCTGTGCAGGTGGGTCTATTGGCAGTCAGGAGCCGGCTATTCTTCTACCTGCCCCTTGAGCCGACTGCCTCCTCTAGTCTCTTTCCTGTCTTCCCCCTCAGCCAACCCTTGTGGCTGGTCATCTTTGTGCTCTATCTCTCCTGACTTCCTCTCCACCCCTCACCAAGGAAGTCTTCGTCACTGGCCCCTCTCTGCTGTGTTCAGGTGATCTCCACTCCTCACCTGGATGCTCCTACCCAGGTCTCCTGACAGGGCCACTCACACCAAACCTACTACTACTTCTTTGCCTACTTGTTTTTCCCACGAGCTAAGGCCAAAGCACCCATCTGCCCTCCCCCACCCCGACCCAGGCAGCCAGCAGATTCCGTTGGCTTTCTCTCCATGATCTGTCTGGACATTGGCCACACCTGTCCTTCGTGCCACTTCACCCTGGCCCATGCTGTGGTTAGCTCTCACCAGGGCCATTATCACAGCATCCCCAACTCCTGGTTTCTGCTCTTGCCCCCTTGTTCTAGCAGCCCAGAGACCTGACACTCAAAGCCTTCTAGAAACTTCCGGTTTCTCTCTGAATAAAGGCTAACACATTGTCATGACTACAAGGCTGGTCAACTCCCAAGCCTGTCATCTGTTCTACCCTCTGTCCTCTGTGCCACCACACTGGCTTCCTCACTGTTCCTTACTGTGGCTCCTTTTTGCTCCTAACTCAGGGGGCCATTCCTGTCTCAGTCTACACTTGGCTACAAGAACACCTGCCTCTGTGTCTTCCTCCTCCCTATTAGCCTCTTACCCACGAGAACTGCTAGGTATTTTACTTAACTGTCTGACTCATTTTGTCTTTCCCACTAGGGTACAAGCTCCTGAGAGCAGACTCTTCATCTGCCTTCTTCACCGTTGAACCTGGGACCTGAGCAGCTCCCCACACAGGAGGGTAAAGAGACACTGCTCCTCTACAAAGAGGGAACCATACACATGGGGTGGCACTACGCTATCCCAAACCAGAGCGACCTCTTCTACCCACGAATCAGTGTGCATTGCTTCTGCTACTTGCATGCTTATGCCCTAATGCGATTGTTCTTTTGTTCCCTGGCTTGACTTGCTATCTGGCTTCCAGGATGTGAGTCTTGATTTTAGGTGTGCTGTGATTTCAGCTGTCTCCGATCACGGAAGCCTGTGTCATCCTGTCCTGTAACTCCTCACAGCAACCTGTAGTTCCTCTTGCTCACTCACTCAAGTGAATCGCCCAGAGCCTCCTCAGCATTGGATGTGTGCTTGGATCTCACTATCTGGAGATTTCTTAATTACACCCACCATGGCCCATGGCCCCACACATGGCACTGGGGAGACACGAACATAATGGGTCCAAGCATGTGGCAGTTTGTAGGCAGTGGTACTGGAGAAGTACACAAAAGAAAACTCACCAAATCATCTAACACCCTTTCTCACTGGAGGGGTGCAATAATGCACCAAGATCTTTGGTGGGCAGAAAAAATCTACCTTCTGCAAACACAGCAGAAGAGAAGGAAAAGAGGAAGAAATGACTTCTTCTACTTTTTTTTTTTAAATTGGCTCTAAGAATTGATAGCTTACAAGTCTGGAAAACTAGATGGCATGTATATTTCTGCATATACTATGAGAAATACTTTTACATCACGCAGTGGTACAAAAAGCCTATGTCTCCATGGGATTTTGTTTCTCCAAACCATATGTGAGTTGTTGTATTTTCTAGCCCATTGCTGCTTTGGTGGGTTTTCAGAGGAAAACCTTGACAAGTGTACTGGAGCAGCACAATGAATAATGGTTCAGTACTTACCGGGGGGCATCATGCAGTGCTCTGGGAACATCTCCAGAGCATGCTCCAGTCGCTCAGTGTCTTGCAGAAGCAGCAGCGTTCTCATGTGATCCAGAATGGACACGTCAGAAGGAGACATGCTGCGAGACTCAAGACAGGTGAGCAGCTCTTTGGCACTCTCTGCTGACACAGCGGAATCTGCGTCTCGGGCAACACCTGGAAGAAGTCAGCATTACTGAGAAATACAGTCATAGGTTTGTTTCTGTAAGCTGGAGACAAATTCTTACCTTTTAAAGAAGCCTCAAACATGCATTCCACCTAAAATGAGACTCAGGAATATAGAAAGCTATCAGGAGAGAGAATCAGAGATCTCTGACAAGTGAACAAAGATAAGAGGTGTCCACTATTTGAATGACAATGAAAACCTGGATCTGTTTTTATGTCTGATTTTTAAAAACCTCTTCCAAGTATGACACAAAACTCTATCATGAACACCAGGTAATAAAACCAAGTTCTCCCCAGCCACGTCATATGTCTTTAAAAACCATTTAGGTTGATCAAGGAGAAGCACTCATGCAGGGACCTACCTTCTCTTTTACCTGCTGAAGGCGTGCAAGTGGTTTAGGTGTTGGTCTGTGAAGACAATGTGTGCTTTTTTCTGGTTGTTTCTGACATTTCTATCACTGCTTTCAGCTGTTGGACTGCAGTGTGCTCAGGTGTGGTGTTTGTGTGACCTTGCTTGAGTCCACATGACTGGAGCAATCTGTGACTGTCTCTTTTATCATTTTGGAAAATCCCACTATCCTCTCTAGATACAGCTCCTGGTTGGTCCTTCCTCCTCAACCTTGGATTCCAGCTACATGGAGGTCAGACCTCATTATGTCCATGTGGGTTAGGCTTCTTTATATTTCCCATCCTGACACCCTCATCCTGGGGACTTTCTTTGACCTTTCCCCCCAGCTGCTAATTCTCTTTTATGTTGAATCTGATCTGTTTTTAAACTCATCTTTTAGTTATGAATTTCAGTTGTCATATTTCTCAGGTCTAGAATTTCCATTTGATGGTCTTAATGTTATCTAATGTTTTTCACTTGAACATCTTAATTAAAGTTGCTTTAAGTCTCTGGACAACATTATTATCATGCTCTCTGCTACTCTCTAGGTGGGGTTTTTTGGTTATGTGGTCCTGTCTCTTGGCATGCGGGTAAATGCTCATTTAAAAAATCACAAAGGTCTTGGGTGATATTTTCCTCCAGAGAGGGCTCAGCCTTTTCTCTGCTATGCAGGGGGGCGGGGTCAGTATGACCCATCAAGGATGGGACCCACCACAGGGAAGGATGCACCTCTGCTCGGCCTGGCTCTGAGGGCACAGCCTGTGGGGCCATGCTCAAGCGTGGAGTGAACTCTTGCATGCTCAGATTCTCAAGGTTACCCAGAGGTCCTGTTACCTTCCACCTCCAGCCTCAGAATTTGGCAAAGGTTTTCAGGGAAACCATCGCTGTTGGGCTCTATTCTCTGGGCTCTTTTCTCACTTGTTTCTGAACACCCTACTTTGATAAATACTCTACTGGTTTGTCTGCCCCCTACCCACCAGGCTCCACTGGATCCTTTCCCCAAACCCTCAAATGCCCCACACCCAAGAAATGGCATCTACCTTGAAGGAAAAGTTGGTTATGGATGCTGGCTCACCTCCCCAGGGGGTGTCTGGGATTTTGTGTTCTTGGAGCTGGTTTCCTCTGAAGCTTTTGTATTATTTCAACAGATTTAATTTTTTTTAAAGAGAGAGAGAGAGAGAGCAAGAGAGAGAGAGAGAGAGAGAGAGAGAGAGAGAATGAGAATTTTAATATTTATTTTTTAGTTTTTGGCGGACACAACATCTTTCTTTGTATGTGGTGCCAAGGATCGAACCCGGGCCGCACGCATGTCAGGCGAGCGCGCTACTGCTTGAGCCACATCCCCAGCCCAGATTTTTAAATTTTTAATCTGTCTTTTCTATTTATTTTTGGTCCAACTACTAGTCTGCTACAAGCTCCTCTATAATATACAGAATGAGATCTCTACTGAGATCTCCAGAATCCTACCTCTACTTGTGTCCTTCTAGTAAACCACTAATAAACATGTGAAGAGAAAAGGTGAATGTCACCTGCAACCACCTCCTGGTTAAAACACATCTATTCAATGGTATTTTTTATCACTCTTTAAATCAGTTACTTACTGCTCACATTATTGTATGGCCAATATTTCTTGATTTGTAAGAACACTGTCAAATGTCTTGCTGGCATTTGGATCTACTAAACTCACCACACTCCCCCAGATCTCCTAGCAGTATCATCCAAATAGGAAAACGGCTGGTTTGGAGCGCCTGGGTTCTGGGTCCGACCACACTGTGTGTGGTCAGCATTGGCTTCTTTCTAGTCCTGAGTTCTGTTGTTCAGAAAGCCTTATGCAAATGTGAGCAATTGTTGTCCTTGGGAATAACTCAATTTTTATTTCTCATATACTCTATCAATACAAATATTCACTCAAAAAATGTTTATTGAAAACAAATCAGTAAGTTACATGTGAAAGAGTAAAACACATGTGTCCTAAGGAGAGAGTCGTGCTTCTTTTACTTCTCTAATAGCTTATGAACAAACAGAAAGTCAAAATCTCCAAACTGGATTTAACTTTATTTAGAAAAACACTACTGAAGGGAAAGCGAGGAACAAGAGATGGTGAGTGAAAAATGAAAGACCGAGACCAGGCAGAGATACACACGAGAGAGTTCATTTGTTAGAGCTGACAATAAAGGCCATCTCTCTGTAGAAGAGAGAGGCTAAACAGGCTTGAGTTCTGGGACTTCTATGGGGAGGCTCAGGAATCGGAGCTGGGCGGTMCTGATGGGGGGTTGGTTAGGGGTGGGTTGGTGTGAGGGAGCCTCAGAAAGGCTCACCTTGGGCGGAAAGCGAAACATTTCCCTTAAAATGGCTGTCACTTAAGATGGCCATCCAGGTGCTAAGGAAGGACCTTATAACGACCCAACATGATGCTYCCCAAACCTGATTTTGGAGGAATGAAGAACAAGCCCATCCATCTTGGAGCTGCTGCTCCCCTGCACTGGTGGTGCTGCTGCTCTAGGCAATCCCCCTTAGGCCACAAGGAGGAACAACACAGCACAGTAATGTGCTACTTCTGCTCTCTGGTGGAAAGAATGCAAATTTTCTGATTTTTTTTCCCTTTGAAACTAATTGTTTACTTTGAATTTTCTAATACATTTTATTTATTTTTTTTCTTTTAGAGAGAGAGAGAGAGAGAGAGAGAGAGAGAGAGAGAGAGAGAGAGAGAGAGAGAGAGAGAGAGAGAATTTTAATATTTATTTTTTAGTTTTTGGTGGACACAACATCTTTGTCTGTATGTGGTGCTGAGGAACGAACCCGGGCCGCACGCATGCCAGTCGAGTGTGCTACCGCTTGAGCCACATCCCCAGCCCCTCTAATGCATTTTACACTACAAATGTTTAAGTATTTTACTATATTTGTTTTTTCCTAAATATGAAGTGGATGCTATTATTCAAAGGAAAGCAGGAAAAGACATACCATCATAGAAATAAATTTCTTGTGTTGATTTCAGAAAGTTCAGGATGCCCTCTGCCTTTCGACTGTGAATCTCAAAGTCTTCCTGGGTGGTGGCCGCATCTTCTTCTTGGCTGGCCTCTGCTGAGGCGGCCTCCTTGCAGTGCTGGACTCCTCGTGTAGCACCCCTCAGGTCGTCCTGTTCACTGCCGCTCTCCTCAGGCTGGTACAGGAAGCTGACGCCAGTGGCCCTGCTTACGACGCCAGCTGCTTTCTTCCTTCTAATTTGCCGCTTCTTTTTTAGCTTCCTTTTCTTATTTTTGCTCATTATGGGGCCATCTGTCGGCTGTGGCTGTATTTGTTGTAAAAGATTCTGCTGTTTCTCTAATTCTGCCAGTTCTATATGAACATTATTAGGATTCTTAAATTTTTTCTTTGATTTATGCTTTCTAATTCTTCTTCTTTTTGACTGACCATGAGGATCCTGATCTGTTTTAAAAAAAATCATATAAAGAATTTTCAATGTACTTGAACCATAACAAACGTATTAGGTTAGCGTGGCAGGAATGTACCTGCCCATAATACCAGTGACTCTGGAGGCTGAGGCAGAAGGATTGCAAATTCAAGGCCTGCCTGGGCAATTCAGGGAGATCCTCAAAATAAAAAAATTAAAAGGGCTGGAATGTTGCTCAGTGGTGGAGAGCCCCTGTATTCAATGCCCAGTACTAAAACAAAACAAAGCAAAACAAAACATGTATTAGGTAAATAAATTTTCATTGGGATTTTATAATTGTAGTAGAAAAAGAATCTAAATTATTTGCTTCTGATTCTCAACCTTTCCTCACAATAATTATGCTACCAAGATCCTGGGATTGAGCAGTCTACAATTCCCTCCCCTCAAACAAAGTCACATATAGACATATACACACAGCTGTTACAATTATGACACCTAGAATGTTTTTTAAGGATATAAGAGTTGGTGTTTATTAGGTGTAAAGTTTCATTCTGATAGCCATAGGAAATTTTTCATGAATTTTTGTACTGTTTACATTTTAATAAAAATCATTCAACTTTTTACTTGCGAAAACTAGAAAACAAGCAGTCTTTGGGTAAAAAAGTCCTGAGATGTATTATTTGCCAATTTTCCTGATATAAATATTTCCAGTATGACTGACTGCAAACTGCCACTGTGACACCACAGAATGGGAAAAGAGATTCACACCTGAGTCTCTTGTGCTGGTGGGAGCAGCACCTCACCTGAAGGGTGCCAGAAGTAGAAAGGAGGAGGGAGGGCTGGGGAGGGGGCTCAAGCGGCTCGCCTGACATGCACGGGGTGCTGGGTTCGATTCTCAGCACCACATAAAAATAAAAAAATAAAGATGTTGTGTCCACCGAAAACTAAAAAATAAATATRAAAAAAATAAAGGAGGGAGGGGCACACCGCTCAATGGGGGTGGGGTACAGTGTCAAGAATGGGGCACAGCAATCCAGAAGGGCACACAGTGTCAGCCAGAAGCACCAGTAAGGAGAAATGTGAATGTATAAGTCACTGTTAGCATAGGAGGGTCTTGGATGTGTGGATCAGGCACAGTTTACAGATCACAACACCAACAATCAAGGTGCATATGGAAAGGAAGAAAGGGTGATGTAAAATCCTGCACATGTGTGCCCCCTTGAAGGTCGTCAACCACGCAGAGCTAATCGGTACCATATCGTGTGAAGGACACTCATGCCTTCTTCAGGTCCTGTCGGAGCAAGTCAGCCTCCGCAAAGCTAGCCACTGCACTTTGCAGTGGTTGGGTTTTCAGACAACTCTCATTTCTAGGAAGTTCTTGTTCAATTGTCTAAGCCACATCTTACCCCATGACAGATCCCTATGAGAAATCAAGATTAAGTAATGTACATGAAATTTTTGAAATACTGTATGAAGGCCAGATATTTTTAGATTGGACAAAAACATGTTTTCCTATGATTTCTACTGAGTCTATACTAATTTCCCTTCTGAAATTAGAATATGTCTAATTTGTCTTCCATGTTAAATTCTTCAAAGCTGCTCTCACAACCCACCCAAGTTTTCTCAATAAACTCAACAGGGAGCCGCCTGGCCAAGTGCTAGGGGACAAAGCTGTGGTCACATCACAAGTCAGTATGCAGCCTAACTGCCATCAAGTTGACTAAGCAGGCACATCATGCTTACATACATGCCATGCATACTTTAATACCCACTGAGCTCATCTCTCATCTGACCCAGATGCCCTCTCCAGCTTTGTGTTTTGTGGCATTGTCAGATCAGACACTGTGTGATGGGAATGAATGATGACTAATTCCACTGCTATTTTTGAATGAGAGTTCCCAGTTTTCTCCAGAAATGCTTAGCAACCGTATCTATGAAACCTACTGCTATCTCAAACTTGGCAGGGAGTCAAAACTCCTTCTCATAATATCATGATACAGGATTAGGGTCCAGCACATAATTAGTGTATTTCATTGCTTTCCTTCAATCACCAATGGATTTTTGAATACAGTATTTTCCCATTTCATCTGCAAGTGTGAGAATCGGTGTCAGGGACCTGCTAATAAGCGCAGCTGGCAAACGAATCCTGAGTGCAAATATCTCTGAAAAATAGTCGACCCTTGAGACGGTCTAAAAAATACTAATATTAAAAAAATTTTATTCCCTAGGTTCAGTTTTGAAAAGACAAAAAAAATTTCTTTTTGTTGATGTCTTTTTAAATAAAAACATACTTTACTTCATTAATTTGGATGAGAGATTCCACAAGTGTTTCATAACCCCAAAGGAGGCCCAGTGGGGGTCAGAAGGAGCGCCCTGACACCCACCAAGGAGAGCAGTCGGAAGCAGCTCTGGGATGCTCTCCACACTCTTCCCTGGCTGGGCCACGGAGCTCACGTCAGTTTCATCCTGGGTGGCTCCTTTTCTCTTTTTAAGGGGTCAGACTGTAATATAAAGGGCTGTCCTATTGAGAATGATCATACTAATGGTCTATTTTAAAAAGACTGTAAATCAGACCTCAAAAAGTGGACGTGGCAAAAATGCTCTGGAACAATATTTATCAATTTTCTCATATAAATTTGTGTGGGCACTTAATATTGATTTATTTTTATTATTTTATTTATTTAAAAATTTTTTTTAGTTGTAGATGAACACAATATCTTTATGTGGTGCTGAGGATGGAACCCAGTGCCTCACATGTGCTAGGCAAGTGCTCTACCACTGAACTACAACCCCAGCCCTATTTTTAAAAAAATTATTTTAAAAATTTTCTATTATTTTACTATTATTTTAATACACCTTTAAAAAGAGTTCAAACCAAGGAACTTAGAACTCACACTCAAAGACGAATTATACACATTGCTCTTTAAAAGTAACATCTCRGAAATACTCAGGAGGCTCCACTGTAATGTGTAGGATGAAGTCCAGTGATTCTATTTCTAGGCTAATAAACGGCATTTCTCTTTCTACAATGAAAAAGTGATAAAAACATTTGTTTTGTATTGAGCATGATCAAGTGAATAACATGGAAAGAAAACAACATTGATCAAAAACCAAAATCTGTTCAAAAACAGAGCAGTGGAGAAGATAAAATAAATAGAAACCAAAGACCTCATTTTATAAATTCCATTTACATCATGGGACTCAATTTCCATTTTTTTTTTGCAGGGGGGGGGTGGGGGGTGGTATCAGGGATTGAACTCAGGGGCACTTGACCACTGAGCCACATCCCTAGCCCTATTTTTATTTTATTTAGAGACAGGGGGTAGCACTGAGTTGCTTAGGGCCTCGCCCTTGCTGAGGCTAGCTTTGAACTCACGATTCTCCTGCCTCAGCCTCCCAAACCGCTGGGATTACAGACCTGTGCCGCCAAGCCCGACTTAATATCCATTCTTAAAGAAATGTTGACCTCAATGATATACTGCTGTTGAGTTCTTGATGAGTAAATACTGACTTGGAGGCCACAGGTTGGCCCAGAAAATGAGAATACAACAGGCTACCTCCCTGATCACGACAGATGAGGAGATGACCCCACACAGCCACAGTGACCCTCCACTCCACCTAGTGTTGCCAAAAGCCTGGGCCTTGTCCCTGATGCCAATCCAATAATGATGACACAGTTTCGAGAAAAAAGGAAAAAGATTCATTGCTTTGCTAGCAAAGGAGAAGCACAGAGGACTTCTGTACCAAGGGCTGTGATTCTGCCATCAGCAGGAACAGGGGGCTTTTTTTTT